AGGGGCTGCGGCCTTGGTGGGGGAGGGGCTGGCCTTCATCCTCCTCATCCTCATGGGGGCGGTGGCCTTCATCCTCCTCTTCGTCACCGTGGTGGCCTTCATCATCTTCATCACCGTGGTGGCCTTCATCATCCTCATCATCGTCACGGTGACGGCGCTGGCCTTCATCGCTCCGGTGGCCTTCATCATCCTCATCACCGCGGTGGCCTTCATCCTCCTCGTGGTCGTCATGGCGATGGCGGTGGCCTTCATCATCCTCATCACGGTGACGGCGCTGGCCTTCATCGCTCCGGTGGCCTTCGTCACCCTCGTCACCCTCGTCGCCGTGGCGATGGCCTTCCTCGCCCCGGTGGCCTTCACCATCCTCATCGTCATGGCGACGGCGGTGGCCTTCGTCATCCTCGCCCTGGCGGCCTTCCTCCCCCTCCTGATGGTGATGATGGTGAGGATGATGATGGTGGTCTGGGGGCTCTTCCTCCCCCTCCTGATGGTGAGGATGATGATGGTGAGGATGATGATGGTGGCCCAGGGGCTCTTCCTCCCCCTCCTGCTGATGAGGATGATGATGGTGAGGATGATGATGATGATGATGGTGGCCCAGGGGCTCTTCCTCCCCCTCCTCCTGCTGATGAGGATGATGATGGTGGCGGTCGCCGGCGGAGCCTTCATCCCTCCGCTGCTGCTGCTGCTGCTGCTGATGATGATGATGGTGATGGTGGTGATGGTGATGAAGGCTCTGCTCTTCCTCCCCGCCCCCCTCCTCGTGCTCTCGGGGGGGGCTGCGGCCTTCCTCCCCCGGCCGAGGATGAGGAGGGTGATGAAGGTCAGGCTGCTGCTCTTCCTCCCCCGGCCGAGGATGATGAGGATGAAGGTCAGGCTGCTGCTCTTCCTCCCCCGGCCGAGGATGATGAGGATGAGGATGAAGGTGATGAAGGTCGGGCTGCGGCTCTTCCTCCCGAGGATGATGAGGATGATGATGATGATGATGATGATGATGAAGGTCAGGCTGCTGCTCTTCCTCCCCCGGCCGAGGATGATGAGGATGAGGATGATGATGATGAAGGTCGGGCTGCGGCTCTTCCTCCCGAGGATGATGAGGATGAGGATGATGATGATGATGGAGGTGATGAAGGCTCAGGCTGCTGCTCTTCCTCCCCCGGCCGAGGATGATGAGGATGAGGATGATGATGATGAAGGTCAGGCTGTGTCTCTTCCTCCCGAGGATGATGAGGATGATGAGGATGAGGAGGGTGATGAAGGTCGGGCTGTGTCTCTTCCTCCCGAGGGTGATGATGAGGATGATGAGGATGAGGATGATGAGGATGATGAAGGTCAGGCTGCTGCTCTTCCTCCCCCGGCCGAGGATGATGAGGGTGATGAAGGTGATGAAGGTCGGGCTGCTGCTCTTCCTCCCGAGGATGATGAGGGTGATGATGATGAGGATGATGATGATGAAGGTCAGGCTGCGGCTCTTCCTCCCGAGGATGATGAGGATGAGGATGAGGAGGGTGATGAAGGTCAGGCTGTGTCTCCTCCTCCCGAGGATGATGAGGGTGATGAGGATGATGATGGAGGTGATGAAGGCTCTCCCGGGGGTCCCCCTGAGACCCCCCCGGGTCCCCCCGGAGCAGCAGCAGAGCCACGAGGAGCCAGGGCCGGAGCATGAGTGACCCTGAGTGACCAGTGAGTGACCACTGAGTGACCACTCACCTGAGTGACCACTCACCGGAGTGACCACTCACCGGAGTGACCCTCAGTGACCACTGAGTGACCCTGAGTGACCAGTGAGTGACCACTGAGTGACCACTCACCGGAGTGACCACTCACCAGAGTGACCACTGAGTGACCACTGAGTGACCCTGAGTGACCAGTGAGTGACCACTGAGTGACCACTCACCTGAGTGACCACTGAGTGACCACTGAGTGACCCTGAGTGACCACTGAGTGACCACTCACCTGAGTGACCACTCACCGGAGTGACCACTGAGTGACCCTGAGTGACCAGTGAGTGACCACTCACCTGAGTGACCACTCACCGGAGTGACCACTGAGTGACCACTGAGTGACCAGTGAGTGACCACTCACCGGAGTGACCACTCACCTGAGTGACCACTGAGTGACCAGTGAGTGACCCTGAGTGACCACTCAGTGACCAGTGAGTGACCAGTGAGTGACCCTGAGTGACCAGTGAGTGACCACTCACCTGAGTGACCACTCAGTGACCACTGAGTGACCACTGAGTGACCCTGAGTGACCAGTGACCACTCACCTGAGTGACCACTGACCACCGAGTGCCCAGCGAGTGTCCACTCACCGGAGTGACCGCTCCGAGTGCCCACTGACCACTCACCGGAGTGACCACTGAGTGACCACCGAGTGCCCACTCACCTGAGTGACCACCGAGTGACCACTGAGTGACCACTGAGTGCCCACTCACCTGTGCCCACTCACCTGAGTGACCACCGAGTGCCCAGCGAGTGTCCACTCCCCGGAGTGACCGCTCCGAGTGACCACTGACCACTCACCGGAGTGACCACTGAGTGACCACCGAGTGACCACTGAGTGACCACTGAGTGACCACTGACCACTGAGTGCCCACTCACCTGAGTGACCACCGAGTGACCACTGAGTGACCACTGAGTGCCCACTCACCTGTGACCACCGAGTGCCCAGCGAGTGTCCACTCCCGGGAGTGACTGCTCCGAGTGACCACTGAGTGACCACTGAGTGACCACTGAGTGCCCACTCACCTGAG